GAGATTGGATTTAGGCCATTAGACTCCGGTTACTTCAGCTCCTGGTGGAGATAGCACACTGTGCTGAGCCTCCAGAGCACTTTGTAAAGGGGGGAGTCTTAGGAGCCTGGTCCCGGGCAGCTCCCCAGCCTCACTAAGCCAGTGGTCCTTCCTAGAGGCCCAAGTCACAGTTCAGAGAAGCTAGGAATGGGCAAAGTCGATAGTGGATCCTGAAGTCATCCTGGCCTGTCGGCTGACTCTCTCCCTGGACCCACTCTTTACACCCACAGTCACCACCTCCCACCCCTCACCGCACCCATCGTGCAGGCACCACACTGCTCCTGTCTCCCTGTGCTCCCTTCATTCTCACACCAGCCCAGAGAGCAGCTGGCATCTTGCTGTTACAGGGAGGAAAGTGAGGCCTGGGGACACTGCCTTCCACGGAGCCAGGATCTGAACACAGGCCACCCTGCCTCTGACTCTAATTAGTCAGGCTGTTCAGACCCAGCAGCCTCTGGGTCCACTGCCCCCAGCTCAGTTACCTGGCCATCCTTAGAGCCCTGAGCCCTTCATCAGGACAGTCCCCCCACCCTGGGTGGTATGCAAATCCAGGCCACCCTGTACCCCCCATTCCATGGATAAGAGGGCCCCGTGGGCTTGGTGTTGCCTTAATCAGCACTCCCTGCTAAGACTCCCTTTATGCCATGTCCCAGCTTCAAATCGTTCCATCCCAGAGGGTCACTCAGAGCAGCTGAAATCCAGGTGATTGACCATACAGTGGGGGGCACCGGGCCTGGATGAGGTTTGTCAGGTGGGCTCAGAAGAATCTGGGTCTGGAGCCATGAAGACATGTCAACTGAAGCTAAAAGACACATGCTCAGTCACACACATCTACCCTTCTTAATTCATTGTTGGGGACCCGAGCTCACATAGCCCAGTGCACAGAGTGTAGATGCCTGTCCCTGTTCAGGACTCAGCAGTCAAAGGGTGGTGTACACTGGCCTTAGATGCCTGTCAGGGCCTGCCCCCACTGGTGCCAGCTAATGAGTTCCATGGGCCAGGGCCCCAAAATGTCTTCTTGCAAGTTCCTGAGCCTCAACCTTCCATGCAGCTGCTGGTGTATCTCTAGCCCTGCCCTCTCAGAGGGGGGAAACAAGACTGGATCTTACTGCTCAGCACCAGGCAGGCCTATAAAGGAGAACCAGGTCACCCATCTGACCAGGGCAGTCCATCCTTTTGGACAATCACCAAGTTCAAGGGGTGTTAGAGCCCACTGCTGCAATCCCAGCACTTCAAAATGAATTTGCCATCGTGTTCCAGTTGGGCTCGGTGTGGATTCTGGAGTCAAAGCTGATTCCACCCCTTCCTGCCTGTGGGCCTTAGGCCATTTCCTTGTATGTACCATGGGGAAAATAGCAATAGTTCCGGGCTCGAAGCTGGAGTGGAAAGTAAAGAGATGACTCCTAGTTCTGCACTGGCACAGACGAAGTGCTTCAGAAAAAGGAATGGTTATGGAAGGCGGGATGAAGTGGGCCCAAGACTTCCCACTTAAAGTCTGAAAGGGTTGTTCAGTCTGTTGCCCAGGCTCAGAGGTGGGAGGTCCAAAAGTCACACAGCTACTTGGTGACCACTGGGACCAGCCCAAGTGAGCAGCCCCTAGGTTCCTGGTCCCCGTGGGCTCCAGGCCCTTGCTCTCCTGGGCCACTTCTTGACAGGGCTGGCCCCTCCTGCTCTGGGGAACAGAATGGTGGGTGAGGCTGGGTAGTCTGTCGTGGGGCCGTCCAGGCAACCCCAGCCTTATGAGGGTAGCACCTGCTGCATCTTCTGCAGTTCCAAGTGCGAGCCGCTGGGTGTCGCCCCACAGCAAAAAACAAAACACAACACAGGACACCGGACTCGCACAGCTGCGGGACCTAATGACCAATCGGTCAGACAGGGAGCAGCTGCCTCCCACTGCTTCCCATAGGCTATCTCCAGCCGCTCTAGAGCTTCCCTCACAGCGCTACCAGACAATTTCAAACTTTTACTACCCCTTCTGCACCCCACCAGCTGCTAAGAGGAAACCCTGGCCACAGCCTCTGCCAGCTGACCCCTCCACTACACACAGTGTTCCAGCCACCTGGGACGCATCACAGCTCCCCGTGTGCCAGGAAGTGCCCACCTTTGACATTCCTGGGCTTTCCACATGTTGTGCCCTCCCTCCTCTCTATGTAGTGCAGGCCTACCACCTGCTGGACACTGTGGACAGGGTATTTCAAATCCCCCAGCAACCCTGCAAGGTAGGCATGCAGGTGCAGAAAGAGGCACAGAGAGGTGAAGCCCAGAGGCCCACAGCTAGCCAAGGGGCAGCAGCAGGTTTGGAGCTCAAGCTCTCAGGCTTCCAAATTGAGCTTTCTTTAGCATCACCACACTGGCTGTGTCTGAGATCCCCATAGACTGTGGGCTACCTGAGGGCAGGGCCATGTGGAATTCCTGTTTATAACCTTTGGGTCCAACTCTTTGTCTAGGCCTTTCCCTAACTCTTGGATGACTCTTAACCATCTGTCCTGTCAATGGGTTTCAGCCCTGGACAAATTCACTATGGATTCATTGAGACCAAAAAAATGACAGTGGAACGTTCTTGGGATGAAAGGGTTTATACCCAACTTTATTCCCGCGGTGGCAGGTCAATCACTAGAATCCCAACCACTCAGAGCAAGTCTGCGTGCAGCAAGCCCGTCTCTGCCTCTGGGCCTCTCTGCCCCCGCAGCTATCTCAGTCTCTGTCCTTGGCGCTGCCACCACTCCAGCCTCTGCTCTCCTGCAGCCGTATAACCCTGCAGCCATGCCACCATGCCACCATGTCACCCAGAGCACTGGGCAGGGCTCTTTATATGGAGTCAATAACAACATATTGCCCACACGTGTGTAGTGAGCTAGCCAACCAGGGCCAGGTGAGAATCCTGGCCATAGGAACCTTCACTTTATCCACCCATCTAAGTGTACCAGATACTGTGCTAAGAGCTTTATGTGTGCCACAACCCTCTAGATAGGTCCCACTATTACCCCCATTTTCCAGAAAGGAAACTGAGCCACAGGTTATATGCACCACATCTTATAGTTTAAGGTGGCAGAGTCAGGCCTATGCCATCTGGCTTCAGAGTTTGAGCTCTTGCTTGTAACCACTTTTCTTTTTATTTATTTATTTATTTTATTTTATTTTATTTTATTTTGGTATCATTAATCTACAGTTACATGAAGAACACTTGTAACCACTTTTCTGTGTACACTTTGAAGGGGGGTCACTCCTTCCCTCTGCCCTGGGGGAGCTCCCACCTCTAGCAGTCTCTCCTGATCTCGGGTTTCATGGGTGGAGCTTATGTGGCCTCTGACCCTAGACTGGGAGCTCCTTGCTGGAAGGCAGGACCGGGCTGTGTGCATTCACTTCTTACCTTGCAGCTTCTGATCCCTGAAATGCCTGAACAGAGTCATTACTCGGGAGGGTGGGGACCTGCCACACCTCCATTTGGCCCTTGTCATCTCTGAGTCCCAGGCCTCTCTGTGGGAGGCAGGCATGGTCACAAGCTCCCTCCCTGGCAGGCCCAGGCATCTCAGGCTGAGTACAGCAAGGGCATCTCCTGGGTGAGGACTGCCCCCTTTCCCCCGGCCTCCCCTTCCTCCCCTAACCTCACCCTCCCCTAAGAGCCAGGATGTACTGGAGCCTGCTCCTACCTGCTCGTGAGAGCTGGAGGTGAAACCTCAGGAAATCTGCAAGCTGATTATTCATCTGAGCCACTGTTAAAAATTAAATGACATAAACTTACAATTTAACACATTATATTAAAAGCAAGAGTAATAAGTACTTAAAGTCCTCATCTCCTCTTCCTACCACTACGTTTTCCTGTCATTGTGCTTTTGTGGCTACTTCTGTCTAGTGGATCTGTATGATGCCAATTCTAGATAGCGGTGAACTACTGACCATGTCTTCCCAAGTCCCTGATCCGTGACATTGCCTTGGTAGTTTGAAAGCAGCTGGGATGGGAGTATTTACATCACAGAAATCAACAAATGTTACATATCAGGGCTCCCCTACACCCACCCACCCCTTCCCCAGAGATCCAGTTATTAAACATACAAGCCTTAAAGCCAAGGGGAGGTAAATGGGCTGTCGCAGAAGAAGCAGGCACTGTGGAACTGGCTCACTCTCACACTCCCACCAGTGTGAGGCCTGGGCAGTTTGTCCCTGGGCCTCACCTTTTGCATCTGCAAAATAGGCTAAGAGCAGCAGCTTTTAAAAACTGAGCATCAGCTATCTTCCAGGTGCCATATTTGTGCTCTCAATAAGTCTGCCAGCAGCTCTCTGTGAAAATGAGGAAATGGGGCATTAAGAGGCCAGGTCCCACATCAAAGGTGACAGGTCAGATTTGAACCACACTCTTAAGTGCTGTGGTTTTTTGGCCCTGTCATAACAGCACCCCGTCCCCTGTGTGGTTTGGGGGATTGTACAAGGTGCTGTATGTGAAAGAGCTTGACACAGATTTGGCTCTAGCAGAGCCCAGTAAAGACCACCGAGAGGTTTAAGAATGGGATCTGGACCCACCCACGTTTGACTCTCAACTCTGCTATTTTCTGCTTGTAAGATTTCCAGCCTGTCAAGACACTTTGCTCATCTAAGCCTCATTTTCCCCCAGAAAAGAGGGATAATAATAGCTACCTGGAGGAGCTACCCAGAGGGTTGGAGATAAAGGATGTAAAGTGTCTGGTATAAGTGGGTACTCAATAAAGGGGAGTGATCGTTGGGATTAGCTTTCATTGCATGTGACTCAGCCAGCAGCTCTGCCCAGCCTTGTTGAGGGAGGCCAGAGTGGAGGAGGCAGGACCTGGCCTGGGCAGTGGCTGGCCCTGACTCCCAGCCAGGTCAGCCCCTCAGAGAGCTCTGGCCCTAGAAAGGCTTCAGAAGCGTGGGCATGCCGTTGCTAGGCATTGGTTGCTAGGCAATGCACTGTTTCTCCTGGCCTGGCCACCTCCCAGAGGGCCCAGGCTTCTCTGGAGCAGCTCCTGCCTCCTTCAGCCTCTTGCCCGACCTCAGAGCCACTGCGGAGGGCAGGTGAGGGTGGGGCCAGCTGCAGCTGGGCTGGCAAAGAGCCAAAGAACTTCTAGCAGGGTGGGGTACAAGGCTGAGAGAGCTGAGAGAGAGACTTGGGGAGTCAAGAATTCCTGGGAGGGAGGTTGTCTGGCTGTTCAGTCCCCAGAGGAGGACGTACGGGGGTTAACATAGGAGGCTGAGAAGTCAGGTACCCTGGGTCTGAATCCACCTATTATGAGCTAATCCTTCATCACTTGGAACCTGCTTCCTGGCTATAAAATGGGGAGGTAATAATAAGGTGTGGGGAAGGGAAATGGGCACTTGTGCCCATAAGTGCTGACAATGGTGGAGAGGGACAGGCGGGGGTGGGGGTTGGGGGAAAGGGGCTGGCTGGGTGGGGTCCGATCACCCCTGTGGTCTCTGCAGCGTGGGCCTAGGGCAGGCTCAGGGCCCTTGAGCTGCTGGACCAATGGGCTCCTTGCACTTCCTTCCTAGGCCCCCCGGGGCCCTGCCCCACAGCATTATAATGGGGAAGCTCCCGCTGGGGGTTGTCTCCCCTTATGTGAAGATGAGTTCAGGGGGCTGCACGGACCCTCTGAATTTCTATGCTACCAGCTACTGCACAGCCTACGGTGAGGGCACCTTTGTGCAGGAGCCACCCCCCAACACAGGGCAGGAGTGGGTTACCCTCCCGATGGGAGAGGAGCAGCTCCTCTGGCCTATCACATATTCAGAGAGACACCAGCACACTGAACTGATTTGTTCCCTGAGACCCCCAAGGATGGTGTGCACACCTGTATTGTCAGGCAGGCCTTGCCCTGCTTTCCCTCCCAGAAATCTATCCTGCGATCCTGCCACACTGACCTTGTGTCCACCCCACTGACTCCATTTCCTGCTGCCACCATCCCAAAGGGCCAGGCTTTCCCGGCTCCTATCCTCCCCTTGTTCCTGCCCTGGCTCTGTGCCTCCTCCATCACAGGGACCCTTGGGCCCCTCGGGGCAGAGGGGATGGGTGGAGTGCTGGCCCTGCCTGGGAAGCCCAGCTCACGGCTCGCCCGCCCATCTGCTGACCTGCTTCTCCTCTGGCAGGTCGGAAGGACTTCCAGCCCCGCGTGGGCAGTCACCAAGGCACGGGCTACAGATCAAATTACCGGCCCGTGGTTTCCTACCGAGCCAATCTTGATGCCCTGGAGAGCCCAGCCACGGGGTATGCTCTGAGCAAGCCCTTCTCACCCCTGCCCTACTGGGCCTTTGCTCTCAGGGCCATTGTTACTCGTCAGGCCAACCCCAGGCTCTGTGCATGGGGACTCTGAGCCTTGCTTGGCCTGGGTCTAGGGTCTGGGGGGACTCAGGGCATGGTGCCCAGTCTGGGGCCCAAAGGCAGATGGACTCTTGAGGCACCTGTGGGAGGTTTGAGGGAGGTGGGAAATTTCTGGAGACAGGTATTGCTGCCTCCAAGGGACAAAGGCAGGTGGTCTTGGTGGTAATAACTCCTGCTTCTGCCCTATCCGCAGGGAACAAGTCCATCACAGTTTCCAGACTGTGACCAGTCAGAGTTACCGCCCCCTGGAGGTGCCTGATGGCAAATATCCGTTGCCCTGGAACATACACCAGACCAGCTCAGGCTACTGTCGGGAAAAGCCCAGTGCAGCAACTGCCACCAAGGAGGTGCCGGGCCAGGGCCAGGCAGGCAGGCGGTGGCTAGGCTGAGGTGGAGGGAGGCTGAGGGGAGGAGAGGGCGGGAGCCCTCCAGCAGGGTGGGACTGCACTGCCAAGAACCGGCCAAGGCTGAGAAGACTGAGCATGGAGGAGCCACCATTGGCTGGCGCCACTCGCTTTGCCACGTTTGTCCTCATTCCCACCGTCACCTCCCCCTCCTGTCGCTACTGCCGTCTCCACCATCCCCATCTCTGGCCCCAGTCCCATCCCATCCCAGCCCCATGATGTCCATCATCTGTCCTATCCACGTCGCCAAGCCCAGACCACCCACTCTGCCGTCATCACATTCACTGTTGCCATTGTCTCACTTCCATCATCTTCATGACCACCATCCTTAGCAGCAGCAGCAGCAGAATGAATGCTAAAGCATTCATTCATTCATTCATGCATTCATTCATTCGCTCAACCAGTATGTTCTGAACATCTCTTCTATATTTGAAGGTGATCGTGCTGGGGCAAAAGCACAAGGAAGGGCGGGGGTGAAGCAGAAATGAAGGAGGGCCAGAAAAGAGACCTTAGACCAAGCCTTGAGGGGGGTGTGCTCCTCCAAACACAACGGTGTGAGGGAAGTGTGTGCCCGGTCATGCAGACAGCAAGCGCAGGGGCCTGAGGCGGGAGGTCTCTGGGAGGAGGGCAGCGAGAGGCAGGTGGCTGGAGCTGAGGGAGGAGCTGCGGTCCTGTGGGCTGCAGTCAGGATGGGAATCCCGGGGCTCTGAGCAGAGGAGGGGCATGACAGCACTGTAAAGGGACCCCTGCTGTGCAGACGTTGTGAGGGTCAAGGGCAGAATCTGCGTCACAATGTGACTGCCAGCGCCTCACCTGGAGGGGTGATCAGCCATTCCCTCCTCCCAGGTCAGGAAGGTCCATTTTGACACCCAGGACTATGGGCCCCAGGCCATCACAGGGCTGGAACCCAAGGACAGGCCACCGCTCCACCAGCAGCAGGGCAAGGGCTCAGTGGAGTGGGAGAACGCCCGACACGTGAGTAGGCAGCCCCCCAGAGGGCCGTGAGCTGGGCTCCTTGAGAGGTGCTGCACTGACTCACCCAAAGCACTGACTGGCCGTGGGCTCAGGGCACCAAGGAGAACCAGGGAGAGCAGAGGAGTGGACATTTGGCATTTCCAAAATGGCATAAAGTGGTCACCCTGGGCTTTCTTATTCATGTCTTAGCACAATCTGCTGAGCTCCACCCCATGCCGACGCCCTGAGCCCCAGGAAGCAGAGTGAAGGGAGTCCCTGTTTTCACCCCTCATCCTCTTCCTTTCTTTGGGCCCCTCCTGCGCTGGGCCCGGGGACTCTGGAAGCCCTCTGGTCATTAGCAGGAGTCCAGTATGGAATGGGGCTTAGCTGTCATTGCCATGGGATCTGCTGCCCGGCCCTGCTCCTCAGAACGGGGTGTACGTGGAGCACCTCCAGGCCCTGGGCTGCCTGGGTCCCCCATCGCTCCACCCTCTGTGTTCCAGGGCCCGCGCTTCATGACTTCTGAGTATAACTCCAAATACCTCAAGGAGCCTTCAAACCAGCCAGGTAGGCATATCTCAGAGCTCATGCCTCCCTCCCACCACACCTCCCTATCCCCCACCCCTAGGAGAGACACTGGGGCACCTGGAGCTGGCACAGGACTAAGAAGGCACCAATGAAAGAAAGGAGGGCATGCAGGCAGCTTGGGGAGTTGGGCTGAACTCAGCCCATGGGCCTGCCGAGCCCCAGAGGACAAATGCTTGCTCAGGAGGGCCGCTGAGCCTGCTGAGGCGCTTCTGTCCCTGCGGGCCCCCCCTCTGCTCCGCTCTGCCCTGCACTCCGGAGTCCCAATGCCCGGGATCCCGGAGGCTCAGGCTTCCAGATCCTGGGAGCAGCTCCCTCCACCCACCCCTGCTGGGACTCTTCTGAGCCTCTGCAGGCCCTGGGGGGGTGGCGGCTGGTGGCAGGGGCAGCACAGGAGGCTATCTTTGGCAGATCTCCTGCAGAAGAGATCGATTGGTGCCAAGGAGGAGACCGGCTTCACAGAAGAATCTAGCAAGAACCCGAATGTCTTCCAGCCACCCTCCCAGGCCCTCCCTGGGAACCCGGTTAGTCAGGCTGAGCCCCATGAGAATCTCAGGGTGAACCCCAGAGTGAGTGGCCTTGGGCAGCACTCAGAGGGGAGGAGGTAGGGGGGTTTCCTGGATGAGGCAGCATCAGACCCCGGCCCTGAGGAATGGGCAGAATTGGGACGTTTGGCCTTCCTACACTGACATCTCATCTGGGGGTTTCTATCTTTTTTTAAAAATCTGAGCTGCAGAAGCCTTTGTTCAAACACAGATGAAGGGACTTGGGTGAAAACTGCTCCTTTGGTTCAATTCACCCAGTTTGTGGACGAGAAGACTGAGGTCCAAAGAGGAGAAGGGGCAGAACCAGTGTCCCTCAGAGCGCAGTCAGAACCCAGGGCTGTGCTGCCCTCCGTTCCTTCCTCCCCACATTCTCTCCTGTCCTGTCATCACACCATCTGTTCTCAGGACAAGGGGGCAGCTGCCTCTGCAGGCTGATGCTCCCCCGCTGGCCTCTTTCTAGCCTCTCCTCCCCAGCCGGAGTGTCACCAAGGCCGACTTTCTCCCCATGACCCACCCTCATGTAAGCTGAGCTGGGTCAAGGGACGTCTGTGTGCCTGGGCTGGGGTCCCCCTGGGAGTGGTCAGGATGACGCGCTGGAAGACCCAGGCTCCGGTGCCTTGGGTCAAGGGGCGTCTGTGTGCCCAAGCTGGGGTCCTCCTGGGGGTGGTTAGAATGGTGTGCTGGAAGGTCCTGGAAGGCCCAGGCTCTGGTGCCTTGCTCCTTAGGGAGATGAATTCCTGCCAGCGCTGGCCAGGGGCTCCGAGCGCGAGACGGCCTTCAGCCGCACCAATGACAGGACTCTGAACCCCAGAGTGAGTGGCCTTGGGCAGCACTCAGAGGGGAGGAGGTAGGGGGGTTTCCTGGATGAGGCAGCATCAGACCCCGGCCCTGAGGAATGGGCAGAACTGGGACGTTTGGCCTTCCTACACTGACAGGTAGAGGCTTCGGGGCTGGGGGGGAAGGGGCATGTTTGGAACAGTGAAGTCAGCCTGCCTGCAGGGGAAGGACTGGAGCCCCCTTCCCTGCCCATACCCAGGGGCAGGTTGGAGCTGCATGTGCGGCTCCCTCTGTCCTGGCTGCCTCCTGGTGGCTCTGTCCCCCACAGGTCAGTATGAGCCCAGAACCCAGCAGCATGAGCCGCTGGCAATTCCGGCCCCCGCAGAGAGCGCAGCCGACAGATGTTGCCCCGCTTGGCCGGGAGACTGTGGGGAACAAGGTGAGGTCTGGGGCGCCCAGCGCCCACCCCCAAGTCCCCACCCCCTCCTCACCTGACAGGTCCCCTCTATCCCTCTTGTGCAGGAGCCCACAGGGTTCAGCCTTAACAACCCTAGCTATGTCCCGAGCCCCTATGACCCCGACAAGGATAATCACTACTTGACCACCTACAACCAAGGGTGAGCGCCCCTTCCCTGCCCATATCCAGGGTTATGAAGCTGGACCCATAGGGAGACTGAGATTGGGACAAGTAGTGAGTGCACAGCCTCATGGGGAAAAAACTAGCACTGATTTAACATGCCTTCTCCCAGAAGCAGACCCTGAGTGAAGGATTTGCGTGCAAGCCCTTTACTGGGGGATATGGAGGAGTGAGAAGTGGGATGGGGGAGGAAAGGCAGCCATTATGGGCTGTGTTATTGTGGATGTGTTATTAGGACACATATCCTGCGGGGAGACTCTGGAATGCTGCAAACACACAATTCAGAATTATCCCTGCCAAGGGCTGAGAGAGCTGGGGTATTCATACCCTCACACCCTTCAGTCATTGGTTAAGGGCTGTGCCCAGGGGCGGTATTAAATCCCAGTTACCTGCTTCCTTAGGCAAAGCAGGCTCCAACACCCCAAGGGCAGCCTTCCTACACAGATGCAGTGCAGGTCACTGGTGGCCAGGTTGGTGGGCTAGGGAATAAGGGGGTTCAGGGGGGTCTAGGTGGAGCTACAGCATCTGTTAAGACAATCTAGTCCAAGGAGGTGGGCTCCATTCTCCTTCAGAAGGTAAGCTCTGTGTAAGTCCTGGGCAAGGAGTGAGTGTCCTGGTCATCAGGAAAGGCCTCCAGGAGGAAGTGGCCCTAGAGCCATGGGGGTCCCCCAGGGCCAGGACTGGGGACTGTGTTGCAGGGGTGGGACAAGGAGGTATCATTCCTGGGACGAAATCCTCCCTCAGGGCATCTGCCATCTATTTGTCAGCATGTGTCATCCATGTCCACACTACCCCCCAACTCTTCAGTCTCCTAAGATGCCCCCTCTTCCTTAGGGCTAACTCCCCCTCTTTTGGATGGGGACCCCGAGGCTCAGAGGGAAGAGGTGGTGCAGGACCCCTGTGTCTGTTTCAGTTTCCCACGGAGGGGGAGGGGAGGCACAGAGCCTCCTTGGGGGAGTTGGGGGACAGCTGTGTCCCTGCCTGTTGCCAGGCAATGCCCCCTCCTGTGGCTGCAGCAGCCCCTCAGCCCCAGCCATCTCTGCTGGACCCTTTCCTCACCTGCCTGTAGGTGTTTCCTGAGCTCACGCCAGGTGTCAGGCACCTGCTCCTCCCTGGTGCGCCCAGAGCCACCAGGGCTTATACTCTCTGATTTTTCTCATTCTCTCTCTCTGCACCCTTATTTTGTAAGCTCAAGGGTGGGGCCCCCATCTTACCCATCTTGGCACCTTAAAACCTGGCCCAGTGCTCAGGAAATATTGGCAAGTGTAAGAAAAGTTGAATGCCTAGAGAGAAATGGATGAGGTGGGGGTCCCCGCCCCAACCATCCCCCTCAGCCCCTGAGAAGTTCATAGGCCAGGGAGGGAGGCATCACTTAAACAGTCCTTGACACTCCAAAGTGCCACCTCGACATCAGGGCAGAGCCAAGGGAAGGTGCCCCAAGTGGATAGGGCCTTAGGGAGTGCCTGTCAGAGGGGACAGCATGCCCCAGGGCCAGAGGCTGCAGGAACCTGAGGCCATTTGTGCTCCGCTGGAGCCCAGGCTCAGGCTGGAGAAGGCGGAGGGGCTGCGGAGGAGGGCAGAGGCCGGCTGCCCACCAAGGCCTCCTGTGCTGCAGGTACTTCGAGAACATCCCCAGGGGGCTAGACCGTGAAGGCTGGACTCGACATGGTGTCCAGCCCCAGAAGCTCAGGGGCTACACCCTCAACCAGCCAGTCACATGCATGGAAGCCTCCCCCAACCCCACGGAGAGCCTGCGGCGCTTGCACCCCCACGGGGGAAGGTAGCTGGCCTCTGTCCCTTCTCCCGTCCCCTCAGGGGCCAGCCTCATCTCGGCTGCATCTAGACCTTTCCCCAGGCCTCTCCTCCTCCATCTGCCTGAGCGGCCTGTCTCCTCTCTCTGGCCTGTTCATTGCTTCTCCTGCCCACGTGGGCTCCTCCTCCCCCACGCCTCTTTGCCCTCCCTCTGAACAGCTGCCCCCCACGCCACCCCACTGCGGGTGCCCTGGGATTTGGCAAACCTTCCCAGGGGCCCGCAGCCCCACACCTGCTCCCTGTGGGCTGCGTGTAGGGTGGGGACTAAGCTGAGCAGACTGTGGCTCTGCCTTACTCTGACTCCTTTCTGCTAATTCAATTCCTCAGAAATTACACTTATACCCATGATGGCTCAGAGTTGGCAGGCAAAGATGTCTGTGACTTGGCCACCCTGGCTGAGGGCTGGCCCCCACAGGGAGGGGCAGGCAGAAGAGGGGCAGCCTCCCCATCCTACCCCTCCCTCATCTGTACCCCATCCCCAATGCAGAACGCCGCTCTCAGCAGACCCCTTCTACGGAGCCACACCTCACAGCAGCCGCTTCACCATGCCTAGCTGAGCCTGAGGCCTGGGTAAGAGGCTGGGGCTCCCCGTGGTGGGCTGGCCTCTGTTGTGGGCCAGCCCCACATACCCACCCTTGGGTGCAGCAAGCCCTGCTTGGAGACCCCAGCTCCTTAGTAGAGGGTGGGAGAGCAGGGACCTCTCAGGGAGTGGGGCAGGTACACAGAATGATCCCATAGCCCCCCAGGCCTCCTTTGCTGCCCCCACAGGTCTTCCAACAGGACAGGAGCTGGCAACTCTCCCCCGTCCCACCGCATCCCCACTGGGACTCCCCTGGCTACTTGCCTAATGAAATAAAGAGGAGTGAAGCAGAGCGCTGTGACTGTTGGGGTGCTGGGAAAAGGACCGGTGAGGGTGAGCGGGGTGCAGGGGTGGGGGAATGGGGCCAGATCGGGAATCAGGGAGGGGGTTGGACTCTGGGTGACACTCTGGAAGGGCACCCCGCCGCTGGAGACTCCCTCTCCTCTCCTGTCGCGAGGACTCTTCGGCCTGTGCTCCTGTGCTGAGCGCTCAGTGAGTGTGGGGGTGGCGGGAGAGCCGGGCAGGTGGGACGGGGAGGGGGCAGGGGCGGGAGGGAGGCGGGTAGAGAGGCCCGTAGTCAGGTCTATAATGTGGGCGGGGGGGTTCAGAGCAGGACTTCCGGGGCCCCCATGGAGCCTGCACCGGGAGGGTTAAAGGAGAGGGCAGGACCGCGGGGCAGCAGGAGTCCCAGAGATTTCTCTAGACACGTGTTGAGGAGGGTCCACAGTGGGCAGATGCCTGGACACCAGCACCGGGAGGGGCAGGGGCTAGTCAACAAGGCTGGAGCCTCAGGGCAGCCCTTCTGTGACAACTGAAACCAGACACCCCGTAGGCAGACCCCCACTGCGAGCACAGGTCCTGCAGACCAAACTTTGCGGGAAGAAAGAGGCAGCGTTCCTTCCGGGTGCCGCAGCCTGACCCCAGAGCCCGCAGCCTGCACGCGCGCTGCCTCTCAGTGCCTTCTCTCACCTCCACGGGGTGTGTGTGTGTGCAGTTCTATGCTGCGGCCCTGCTAGCACCAGCCCCTTATTTCATAAATGAGGAACCTGGACCCAGGAAGGGTGTACGAGCTGCTGGACGTCACACAGGACAGACAGGCAGCAGCAGCCTCAGACGGCAGAGGGGCAGACTCAGGGGCCCATCGGCTGCTCCTCTATCCCCCACCGACCCCCTGCCCCTTAGTGGGTGTCCAGAGAGCAGCTCTGCTGCCCTGGGTCCTGGCTGCACCCCACAGTCTTGAGCAGCAGCCTGGGGGCCGTCCTCGGCCTGGCTGGGGCTCCATGTGGTATGTGGGTGGCTCCAGCTGGCTTCAGCACTGGAGGAGGGAGTAGGGGACACGGAGTCTCTCGGCTGCAAACCCAGCCAGACTCAGGACCCAGCGACAGCCCTACAGGCTGTGGGTGAGGCCTGCTGGTCCGTGGTCCCCAGCATTAGGAGTGAGTCACCAAACCAGAGACTTGCCATCTGCGCCCCCATGTGGCCTGGCCATAGTGAGCAGGGGAGAGGTAGGACATCAACCAGCCCCTCCCACCCACAGTCCCCTGCCAAAGCACACACAAATGCAAGTAAAGATGCATACAGACCTTTGAAGACATGCGCACACATGCAGATGCACAAATGCCAACAAATACTCATAGACTCAGTACCACAACCACACACAAAAACAGGGAGAAGCACAAAACCAACGTGTACAAAAACACACGGATCTTCACATAAACACCCAAGATGCTTGTACATGCAGACAGATGCACACACACAGGCAGACTTATGGACACATGGACACACTTAGACGTGGGCACAAAGACACACCAAAACAGACGTACAGAGCCTTACAGGACAGATAGATAGACATACACACCCACGTTTGTGCACATAAGCAGGCACCACCCCATCTCATGTCACCTCTCCATTGCCTTCTTCCCACCAGTGTCCTTTTACAGCTCATGTTTCTGCTCACCCTACTTCCATCTGGCTGAACAGGGGATATGGTGTCAGGGACACTGGAGCCTGATTACACCTTCTGTCCATCATCTCCCCCATCCTATTGTCCTGCACCCAGTTTCCAGGTCGTGTGCTCTGGGACCACCCAACAATGTTTCCTGTGCTGGAGTTGTAGACCCCTCCTAGGGCAAGTTCACCAAGCAGCACCCTGTGCTCCCCATGGAGGAGGCAGGTTGGCCAGGATTCAGGGGCCGTGAAGGCCGTGCTAAGGAGCCTTTCTCTGTCCTCTACTCAATCATGAGGCTCAATAATGGCAGACTGTGTCTGTCTTCACAGCTGAAACTGCAAAGCCCAGGACAGGGCCTGGCACATTCACATGTGCTCAGTAACCTTTGGATCAGGAGGGAACGACCTCTGCCTGCCAGCTGCGGCACCAGATGCGGGCCTCTGTCACCTGCCCTGGCCCCAGGGCGTCAGTCACCCAGGCTCTGTGCATCTACACGGTGTGTCAGCTGAGACCCTGCTGTATGAGCCCCTACACACACTGCCTGGGTGCCGTGGCTGTGGACCCTTGGAATGGCCGCCTTTCTCTCTGCATGTGCCCCTTGCTCTCCCCACACACCAGGCCCAGCCTCTGGCCAACCCCAACCAAGCTCCTCTCTAGTGCCCCAAAGGCCTCCACATTCCAATCTTGATCCCCAGTAGATGCCAAGACCAGGGTCGAGTCAGTGCCTAACCATCAGGAAGGGTGGATACTTTCTGCCCTGTGGCTGCTCAGGTTACTGGAACCCCGATGAGGGGACAGGCCTTCGCCACATCACCCCCTCTCCATGCTTCCAGGTGGGTATGGGTGCTGACAGTGCGGCTCCATTTTCCCAGGCACTGTCTCCTTGCCCCTCTGAGACTTGCCAGCCCAGTGCCCTTTCTTCTCCCAGGCCCAGGCAGTCAACAGAGGGTAGCGGTCCAGGTGTGAGCTCCAGAGTCAGACTGCCTGGGTTTAAATCCCAGCTCTCCACCCCCAAGGCTGCCTCCTGCCGCCAGCTGAGGAGGCCGCCTCACCGACCTGAGCTGCGGCTAACAGCCCCTGTGGGCTAAATGAGGAGATGTATGCAGTGCTTAGCTCTCAAATGTAGCTACCTTGATGCTGAAGGAGAGGGAACAATCCCAGGTAGGTATTGGAGCCTTCTGTCTGGGAGAGCATGGTGCATGATTCACCTGTACCGCCTTCCCTGGAGGTTCTAGGCTGCCCCTCCAGGGGGCCAGGCCCCATCCTGTCTCTGAGGCCAACCTCAGCTGGCCCCTCCTGGAGGCTGCCCACCTCTCCTCTCACTTGGAAACCAGGCTTGGTGTTCAGATGCCTGTTGTAGCCGCACCAGAAGCTTCCTGCCCCTCCCCACAGATATTTCAGAAGCATTCTGAGGTGTACAATGACGATGATTAACCTTTATTAAGCTCCCACAGCCTGCTGGGTGCTGGGATTATTCTGTGGGCCATCGTCTTTTCAGCAAGAACACAGAGGGGCCCCCCTCTGGGGGAAGTCCGGGGATGCAGGCGGGTGCTGTGCTGACGGCACTGCTGTGGGGGGGTGGAGCCCCAAGGGCTGATGGGACAGCAAGATCAGGACAGATGCTGGGTGCCACGCAACCGGGCCCCACTTCTGACGCATGTGGACATGTGTGAGGCTGCTGCCCGTCATGACATTGTGGCAACTGATGTTGACAGGTAACAGCTGGCCTGGGTCATGTGGTGACACCCACAGCTACCAGCTCATGGGCTTGACAGATGGCCAGCTGGGAAAAGGCATCTGTCCTTGGGAACTGGAGGCCCAGGGGGTAGCAGGAAGCTCTGTGTGAGGAGCTGCGGGATGGTGAGTGTGCTACAACGCAGACAGGCGGAGGGCCTGAAACTTGGAACCCGATTCCTAATTTCCTCCCTGACCATCTGAAGGGCCACCCATTCTTGAGGATATGTTCCTCCAAACAGCCAAATATGCAAGGACAGAGAAGGAATCAGACCCAGGAAAGCCCTGACCTGGGGGCAGGAGGCTGGCATTGAAAAACGTGGGCCAACTTATTCCCGAGTATGTATGAGGCATTTGGTTATGTGGAGACTCCTGTGTATCACAGTGGAGGCCCTAGGGTGGTGGAGGCCCTGGGGTGGTGGAGGCCCTGGGGTGGTGGGGCCATGGTTGCCCCACTGTGATCACATGGCTCCCATCGCCATGTAGGTTGAAGTCTGACCATGTCGGGTAGCAGTCAGACGGGTCTGCAAGCAACAGAAACCAACTTTGGCTAATTGAGGCAGAAGAGGAATTTATTAAAAGGATTTTGGAACTCACTGAGTCTTCAGATAGACCTGAGAATAAAGCTTAGAGGCTACCCAGCCAAGAACTGTGGACTGGGCCCCCTGAGACAGCCTGCTCTCCCTGCCACCTACTGCTGGGCACTGGTACCACACCTGCTGCCACCACCTCCACCCGTCCTCCATCCTCTGGAGGGGTTCTGCTCTGTCCCTTCGCTCTGTACCTCTCATTTCCGATTCAAAATCAGGGGTGGGGACTTCTGATGGGTAGCTCCTAGGTCACATGTCTGCATCCCATTTGCAAAGGAAGCTGGGAAAGTGAGTTCCCAGCACTTTCAGCTTCCCCGTTGGCCATGTGGGTTCTGCAGCTGGGATTCTCCAACATAGGGGGATGCTGGGAGGCCCAAAGGATTCAAATGCCCTCCACATGTGGGTTCCCATTGAGAAGAAGAGAATAAGCATGTGTGAAGTGCCTCCTGGGAGCTGTGTGCCTTACACACCTGGCAGGGATGCTGCTGGCCCTTATGGACACTTTGTGAGACATGGGAAAAGATGTCCTTCCTCGACCACCTTCATAGTGTACCAGTCTGAGGTCCCAGTGCAAGCAGGATCCCCTTAGATGTGGTTCCACTGTGCTCTGTACCACCTGCTCAGCTGGGCACATGGAGGGTGTGGATTTCACAGGCACACACGGGGAGCTCAGAAATGGACCTTGGTTGGTCTGTCTGTAACTGACCTTAGCAAAGACATCCATCCGGCTGCTTCCAGTGCTACTCAGTGTCCTTTGGATTTAAACTGTCCATTCAGGACTCCAAGCCAATCAGGTCAAGAATCTGCCCCTCCTCCCTTTCCTCCTTCCAGGACGGTGTGTATATTTACGGAGCTTGCTCTTTGGCGAGAGGCATCTGTCTGTGTTGACTCCCCTGGGGATGTGTGATCTCTGTGGGTTGGGTCATCTATACTCGCATGTGCCTGGAAGCCACTGTGATGCTCTGACCTCTGGTTGCCAGGTCACACAATCAGTTCTTCAGCTGCCTTACGTGGAC